GCAACCTGAAATAGATATATAGCTGCTACTTAACTCCAGAGCTCAAGATATGTACTTCATTTTCTGCTATGATGCGAAGTCTGTTCCAATGTTTCCCAATAATTTCATCGTTATTGCACCAGCACATAAAAGTTGCGGCCCAGAAAGCAGATCATTTTCATTGGCATGCAAGGTACAAATGTATTGCTTTTCTCAACGGGTTTTTTATCAGTGGGTCTGTCAGACTGAAATACTTGAAAGTCTTATATTATCAACCAAACATCTTTGGAATGCCAACTTCTGCACCTTTGAATAATTTTCACACCCTATTAAGGTACTGTATATCATGTCAATTTTTTTATAGTAAGTAGCACCACTATGGATTTCAATCATGTTGTTGATATAATTTAACTTCTTCAATAGATTTTAAAGAGAGAACAGTAATGTATTCCCTTTCTGTAAATGTTACTAGGATCTTTCGTTCAAGGTCTGTTTCAGGTCTGTTAAGAGCGTAAGAAATGGCTCCTTTTGGTCATATGATGCAGTCCTCACATATTAATCTGTTAAAGAAAGCTCATGCCTCTGGCCATAATTGGACACCAACCTATTACATGTAAAATCTGATATCCTGACAGCTCCCAAATGAATAGCAGAAAGAGCAACAATCGTGTTTAACTGTTGGCTGCCGAACCTCATTTTTGTCAAGTTTTTAATACAAAATCTTACAAAGACAACCATCTAGACTGTTGACATATTGCTCCACAGATGATGATGCTTTTGACGCCTGTCTCCTTGAAAAGTAGAGAATAGCTCTTGCATTGCCTTCATATTTGCCTGCTCTCCTTATATCTTGAATTTAATTAATAACATATCTGGGGGCTCCATAATGAATGACAATCTCCATAACTAAATAAATCCCCATAATTAATGGTGTAGTAGCAACAACCACACGACAAGATCCACATTGACTTAAAAGATCTCTCAGTATTCTTTGTTTTCGCTTTTCTAATGTCCTCCTGTGGAAAATTCCAATAAGCAGTGAGTCTGAAGTTCTAACTTCCGGCAATGGGTCATGTGCATCTGTACAGATCTTCTTTCAAATATAGGTACAAACATTATACAGTACCTTTAACAGTATATAACTATCTTTTCGTATTCTCTTCTGTACTGCCTCATATCTTCAATCAGCCAAGAAAGAACTGTTAGGGACAATTGTGTGCATTTCACCTTTGCAAGACAGATGCTAAGCCTATTTGGACCTACTCTTATCAAGTTACACGTCTTCATACTTGGACTCTTAATAGTTCTGCTCTCTATGTCCTTATCTGCTGTTGTTGTTGGAGCCATCTCCTTCACTTTGGGGAAATAGTTCCTTAGCATGCCTAGCTTTCCAAATAAGTCTCGGAATGCTTTTTTGAAAGTTTTCTCAGAGGAATCCTTGTTGTTTCCAAACACTTGCCCCCTAAAATTCAAAACTGCAAATTTAAAAAAAACTACAGATGTTTACTGATCAATATTTCAGTATCTAATCTAAGATTAATAAATAGATAATCATGACTAGTCACCCTGAATGATATTTTTGCTGACTTTCATACTGCTAGTCACAATGTAGCTCTAATCCCATCCTTATTTTGTAGACATGTCAGTGTCTATCACCATATGGTATATGCATGAGTAAGCAAAGAGAGAATGAATGAAAGAAATAAAAGAGAGAATGTGTCAAGCCTCACAAAAGTTACCAGAAACAACAATTTCAAAGAATACGGAAGAAACAGTTCCAATCATCTTCATCAATGAAGATGGAATTCCACTCATTCAAGCTGTTGATGGTGGACATGAGGGGTAAAGGAAAAGCAAGGAAGGCCACACTGTCTATGAAACAGCCACCAAATGCCAAACACATATTATATGAAGATATCTTCATAGAGTTCAGTGCAATGGCAACTACAACAGACCAGTGCTATCTACTGGACTATGAGTCACAGCTTGATAGAAAACGTGAAATTGAACATGAGTTGCTGGCACATTCATATCAAATCATATGCGATAATTTGTACTTTCTCATAAAGGTGAAGCATATGACAAGTGCAGACCAAAATAGGTATGAATCAGTAGATGTGTGGAGAAAAATAGTTTCTGTTTTAACAATCTGCAGTTGTTTTGTTACTATATTATTTTGTTTAACTGGTACAATACTCCAATTAAAATTTATCACTCCTGTAGAAATTCGCAGATCAATTCACTGGTTTAACTGCCAAGGCCTTAACAATGACAGTCAACAGAGAACAGCATCACCAGGCTTACCTCAGATTTTGTTGAATAGTGGGACTTTTTGTGACATTACGCAATGACAGGATTTACTTATTCTAAAGTATCTATTTTCCGATTGTCAATTTAGATTTCACTTATCTTGTCATTTAGTAACTTATATTTCAATTTAAAAAACATGACCCTTGAATGGTTTATGCCTTTCCAGGCATCATCCTAACCCTTTCAACCCAAACACCAATCGAATTGTAATTTCTTGCTCTTTTCAACAAGCCTACCATCTTTATTGAGACTTCCATTGGTCGAAAAGATGCAAAATGCTCGATATTCAAATGTAATTTGCTAAAACTGGTCACATGATTTATATTCTATTGTTCAAACATGGCTTGATAGCTGCTGTGTGGTGTTAAATTACTTTGCCTACCTTCGAAGTTCGCGATGAATCTACTTTACTATTTATATTCTCACTTGTATTGGCTTTACGAAATTATAAACTGTATCTAAAAACTGACATATTCAAACTTCCTGTCAAGACATCACCAGTTAGGCCCGTTTGTTTACTCGTTGTTTTGGCCAAGTGCAAGACCGTTGGTTTTATTCAAACTTCCTTTTTCGTTACACTTGATCGAATTTGTTTTGAGATTTTTGCTTGCATCTACTTTCTTATGAACACGGGTAGACCACGAAAAAACTCTAGAAAGTTTCATGGAAATCGATTAACTTTTAATTCTGGTATTGTCTAATCGCATTCAGAATCAGAGAGAGAACCAGTGTCACAAAGTCATGGAGAAGAAACAGCATCTTCTTCCAAGGTCACCCTTGTCACCCTCACCCTTATCGTCTGATAACTCTGATCTTGGCCTTTTTGGCAACAGAATCATCAGTGTTGTGAGCCTTCTTAATTCCTTGGAGCGACTTGTTTGCAGCACTTGCTTAGAAAAGATTGTGTTTGCTGAAGAAAAATTGGTTGGACAAGCGTCCACTCTTTATTTTTTATGTGGATTTGATTCAAGGTTAGCCCTCCAATCCTCAGATCTGTGCACAACATCCAAGCATTTCCAGGTCAAGGACAGACTGCAGGTTTCAATGTATGAAATTGGATGCGATTATGAAGTTGCCAGGAACTTCTGCGGAAATATGGACCTTCCACCGCCAGTTTCATGCAAATCATGGAATCAAATCAAGATAAAGATCCATGAAGCGTTCGAAGCAGAGTCCTCCAAGAGCAAGAACAAGGCTGCTTCAGAAATCAAGGATGCCAAAGGGAATGATGTCACTGTCTCTTGTGATGGAACGTGGCAAAAGCGTGGATTATCAAGCAAGAATGGTGTTGTGACTGTTGCAACAGTCAATGGAATCAGTTCTAAATCCTTGATACAGAGACCTTGACAAACCATTGCAATAAATGCAAAGTAGCAACAAATGGCAATGAAACTACACATACATGCCAGAAAAATTATGAAGGAACTGCGGGGTCGATGAAAAGTGAAGGTGTGAAAAGAATTTTCAAGCGGTCACAACCACAGTCAGAGACGCCAAGAGCCACGATGGGTAACGGTACTATCCGAAATTTGGAATGCTTGCTCGTTACCTTTTTTTATTTCACCAATCAAATCATGCAGACATTCGGTGTCAATGGTGCTTTTGATTTTTGATGATTCTTGGTGGCCTTCCCGCTCTTGAAGAACAAAATTTCCCCTTGTTTCTCTATGTTTCATGAAGGGGGCTGTGACGCGTCCAGTGTGAATTCAGCTTTAGAACGAGGTCTTGCCTTTTGAGTGTCCTTTCAACGTATAGGAGATCCCAGCAACGGAAACTTCTTGGGATTGATAGAGCTTCTCAGCCAGTATGACCCTTCTTTAGCACGTCACGTAGAAAAAATAAAAAAGTCACAGGGAGTAAAGAGACAACTTCAAGTGCTCTATTTGTCAGCCGACTCCCTAAATGAGTTTATCAAGACATGTGCAGATAAAGTCTGCCAAGTTGTTACTGAAAAACCTACAAGTGCAAAGTATTATTCCTTGATAGTCCGGTTTAATGACTTGGCTGTGCTATCACTTGAGCGAGACATTGCTCGAAAAGTAGATTTGCAATATATTATTAATACGTTTGCTGAAAGAAAAGCTTGAAAAAGTTAAAGACATTAAAGCTTACTAGAGTGTTACCTTGCCTGTTAACCTATTTTGTTTACTTGATGAGTATATTGTTTGTTAACAGTTATTTGATTTATTTTTACTTCCCTGATTCAAAAATTACCATTTTAAAAAATTGAAGACTTATTGACGGGCCCCTATCTGGCGCCGTGCCACTGGGCAGTTGCCCTCCTTGCCCCCCCTCTCGGTGGTCCTGACCACAGTATGGCTTATCATATGTTGGATACTTGGGAGATGGTGACTCAAAGAGTTTAAAAAATCTAAGTAAGGCAGAGCCACCAATCTACCCAGGAAAAAAAATTGAAAAACTAGAATGCGTTGGTCACATTCAAAAGGGAATGGGAAGAAAGTTGAACAATCTAGTTTTCCAATCTAAGAAAAATATTTTTACCAACAGTGATGGAAAAAAATTGAAAGGAATTGGAGAGAAAAACAAGTTGACAAAAAAAGGATATTTACAGAATTCAAGGACATTATCGGGCTTCTATCAGGAA